TTTCCAGCTCTCTTCCTCTCACATCTGAAACACAACACACAATTCTTTTCCGCCAATGCTTTATATTCATCAATTTTCAATGAAAAAAACAAGCAATAATAGGTACCACGGGGAAGCCCACACAAACTGAGTGACAGTTGTAATGTTTAAATCTAGAGAAAATGTATGGGAATATCGAAAAGGTTCACATTATTGTAATACAATGACATGAATTCTCACAAATTCAATAAGATCAAAATTAATGTCCTTTTATGCCGAATGCAAAACCCTTCGAATCACTATAATTCACTGGCTTTTGTTGCAACAATGACAATACATGACATTTCAGGTAAAAAGACTTTTGATCATACATGTAAGAATATTCATCACATTGTATTACGATAATGTGAACTTTTTTGATATTTCCATACATTTCCTCTAAAATTCAAACATTACAAATGTCAGTCAGTTTGTATGGGATCTCTGTGATAGGTTCTACATGTAAATCACACAGCAGGACTTTTCTTAGTTGGATTTTTTCCTCCAACAGCATGCACTCATTGGTTGTTTTAAAGGCACATGCCATCCGACAGTGGTAAAAGTAGTAAACATAAAGCATTAGCTACCCTAATACTTCACTAAATTGAACACTCAGGACGATTGATGATGAATTTTGATGACACAAGGCTGTTATTAAGAGGCGGGGGCTGGGGATTTCCCCTGGCTACTATGAATGTGGCCCCCTGGTACCTTCATAGGAAAAGAGAAGAAAAAAAAGAACCAAAAGAGATCCCTGGCTGTTTTATACCCCGCCTACTTGTTGTATTTATGTGGCACCATGTGAAAACCAGCAATTTACTCAATTCCTTTTCCCCCTTCCCTCCCTATTATTTTACAGGCCACCTACCTTCCCCAAGCTCCACGATGTTCTGCTATACACATATTCTTCAAATGTGGCCCCATATAACTGATTTCACTGTAATATCTACCGTATTTATTTCAGGCTATAAGCTGATCTTGGCCATAAGCCGAGACCCTAAACTTTGAACGCATAGAATCAATATAACTACGAATGAAAAATAAATCGAAAACACCCTGCTATAAGCCAAGACCCATTCGTTACGAGACTTTTGACTACAGTGAAACCTCACATTTTCAAAACAATGTGATCTTCTCCAGGAAAATGTACACTGACATTTTTCCATTAAACGGGCAAAAACAAACGGCTAATAAACAGCTTTTCAAAGCATTTTAATGGTTTGATTAACACTTTTAACTGGTACGCAAAAATTGACATCTTTGGAAAGTGTTCGAACAGATTGCCTTGATTTTCTGAACGGTTCGCTTAATGGGTTGACTAAATGACATAAACAGCTTACACGATCCAAGTTTTAAACAACTGTTGTTTGGGTTTTTCACTGCTATCAATCTTTCCTTATGTCTTCATCGCATTACATGTATGCTTCAAATGGTCACAGAAATCACCTTATAATCAAAACAAACCACAGCAGTTTGTGTTGCATTTGTCCGTGCTAAAAGACCAGGCAAATGTTTTGAAGGATGTGTTTGCCAAACAAGGTGGATTGCTCAAACATTTCTTGACATCTTTCATTTGTTTTAGACCTTCCCTTGTTGTAAAAGGCTTACCAATGTGTAATTTTAATTGTGAGCCCTGTTTTTGTCAGATATTTTGACAATTTGGGACTGAGTTTCTGTGCTTAGCTAAGTTATCATGCCAGGGGGGTATCCCAATAATGACCTATACGGGGAGGCTCCGCTCGAAAGGGGTACCTTTTTCAGGCTTCAGGTATATCAAAGGGTAGGGATTTTACTCATTGAACTATATGAAAGGGTAGAAAAATCTGTCATTTGGGTCCGTGACAGGGCCCAAAGGGCTGAACAGATGAATATTATGGCTTCATAAAGTTCCTATTTAAATGACAATGCTTTTACAGCAGTTAAAAGGGATGCAAAGTTCCAAACGAGGTATGTGAAAGGGGAACCATTCTCGTGAAAAATGGTATATAAAAGGGTAAGGGGTTGGACGTCGGGGCAGAGCCTCCCCGTAAAAATTTGTTGGGTACCCCCCGCCCCCCATCATTAAGGTTCATAGTTATGCGATCAATAATTGATCGTGTAACTACTAATAATTATTAGATCTTTTGCTGCTATTTGCTAGGCTTATAAGTGAATACCGTACAAGTATCCCCTGTTATTAGAGTTTCAATGCACTGAAAATAATTTTTTCAAAAACTTTTGGCTAAGAGCAGAGACCCCCTCTTGGGCTCAAATTTCACTTAACTTTAGCGCTAATTTGTGCTAATTTGTGTACAAATTGTTCGGCTTATATGTGTAGCTAAATAGAGTACCGAAGTGTGATGTCATAGAAAATGAAATTTGTGAAATTATGGGATTTGTTAAGATATTTTTATGACGTCATCACTTCGGTAATCTATAAATACGTTATTAGTCCTCATACCTTTTGCATTACAGAGCCTTACCAAAAGTCACATAAAAATTTGACTATAAACAAACTACAGATGTAGCAAATACTCTTGCACCTGCTAACAGAGCCTTACTTTCGACTTGCTCAATTTTGGCACACTCGAGAAATTCTTCATCGCTATTTTTCCTTTGTCCCTTGCCATGAGACCCTGCGCGTGCCTCAACCTAACCCCCAATCTTCTCTCACCCCCAAAACACATAAATTGTGACTGGGTACGAGTCTGTGACACTATTCAGGTAGAACTTCCCTTTTTCCTCTGCATTCAAGAAGACAAAAGGGGGCTTTGCTTGCAGGGTGATACTTTTGGGGAGTGGATGAAAAATGTAACACATCACAAGTGAAAGCCTTCCAGTTAACACAGCATTTTTTGCTTAACACAACAATCACTCCTAGACATTGCAAAACAATTTTCAGTCAACCCAGCATTGCCCTTTGCAATCCTCTAACCACAACAATTACCACCGAATGTTGCGAAACAACTTTCTGCGTAAGATGACCCGACACAAAGTACACCATCATGGTATTTCTTATGTAACACAAGAGCACGTACTGTTCCAAAATCACGCGATGGTTTCTGATTTCTACTAAATATCTAACAAAATTCTATGCGTCAGTCATCATTTTCACAACTGAACATAAATTTTACGGTCACAGGTTTGTCATGTGTCTGTAAAATAGTTTTGAGTAACGAACTCACTGTACAAAACACGTGTAGAAAAGAGAACTATGAAGTAGAAGCAGCTAAAACCTTGGTATACTTACGCAGTTTGGTTTTTCTCCGGTTCATTGCTATCCTTTACGCTTAAAGAGAACTAAAAAGTAGAAGCAGCTAAAACCTTGGTATACTTACGCAGTTTGGTTTTTCTCCGGTTCATTGCTATCCTTTACGCTTTCGACACAAATCTTTTTGTAATCCTTTGAAAAGGATGAGTTGTAAGGCAGGCATCCTTTATCTCCAAACTTTATGTCGTGAGCCATGGGCTGAGATGATACAGCCAAAGCGTACCTGTCAAGTTGATTCAACAAATATGCACCAAGCAACAAAAATAGGACATAAACTGCATAACCACCGGCCTTGAAGACTACCACAAAACTTTCACCCATTGCTCGATTAAACGGCTTGAATGTGCGACGAAGAGAAACAATGAATCGGCGAAAAAGGCGCAGCACAAACTGTAAGATACTTTTTCGCGTGACTGTCATCGGATTTGACACAAGTGAGCTGGAGGCACAGCGGTTACATAAGAATAAACGGGCAGCGGCACAACTAGTACGTCATATTTTTTGCATGATTTGTGTGGTATGAATCCTCCAAAATTCTCAGGAATAACTGTCTTTAAGGGCCTTAATTTTTGGACACAGACGCTCTCACGGTTCATCTTAACCAACATTAAATAGCACCTATGATTCTGCCGCAACCTTGTCCACCCTGAGGACATCCGGGTGATTTTGGCATTCTGGCTAGTCACCCCTGACATCACGTCCTCATCGTTTCTAAATTTTTCTACATCTACCCCCTCTTTCATTTTTTTGCGAACAGAAGAGGAGAAGGGGGGAGGTTCGTGCCAAAGGGTCACACAGAAATCGGGGCTGGTTTACAACTTTGAGGGCCAAACTTCCTTTAAGAAGAAGAGCAAAACTTCCCTGAAAATTGCATTAAATTTTGTAAACCAGTCTCTGGTCTTGAGAGTCATTGAATAAGCGAATAGCCTGACTGGTGGAGAATACTCCTTCCATCTTTTCCTTCCCATCAATTTCATGCTTTTTATGTATCACCATTTGCAGAAATTCGTATAACGGCGTTACGAGGTTTGTTTCTTTAATAATGAACACACGAGTAGGGTAAAACCTAATTATTATTTTTAAACAAATTTTTGGAGGCTGAATAGTATCTTTTCATGAACATTCAAAAGATCAGACCCATCCGTTGCTGGAAATCTGAATGGCCACATGAAGAGAATTTATGATCAGGGTAGGAAGCAGAAGTCAAGCTGAAGACCACCAATGAAACCAACTTACGTGTACTGTACTTACTATAAAAGCTAGACTTCGTAATGGCTGAGAGAAAAATCCTCAAATGATGCGCATTCTTTGGTAATGCGCGCGCAGGAGCCTTTTACCAAATCAGTCAAATCACTGCTCCTGGCACGCGCTATTTAGCTATTATGACGTACGGCACAGTTTTCAATGAACAAAAATGGATCCTGATAAAGGTAAGTAAGTTCCTTGAAGAATAATTGTTAAAAGGACCACAGCATATGACCCGTGTAGTGAAAATCAGTGGAAAGTGATAACCGCCGCCTGGTTAGCTCAGATTATGGTAAAATCGTTCTGAGGTTAACCAAACTAAAGATACAGTTCTAGGAGACTTGTCCCGGCAGCACACTATAACCACTCAAAGGCAGTGTTTTCAACCAAACACATGCGGGCGATTGCCAGAAGGACTTTTGAATCCCAATGAAAATTGGACTCTTGCTGAAAGACAGATATTTAGACAGATTCTTTGTACCTTTTAGACGCGGAAGGGGAAACTACGAAGCGGAACGAAAACAGCACGCAAATGTGCAAAGCGCAAGTAAGTCATACAAACTTTGACGCCAGAAAGTAAATGAGAGAAGAATTAGCGAGCCTTCAGACATTTCTTTAAAGGCATCATAAGCTTTAAATTATAAACTCAGTATTTCAGGGGAAATTTTGGCACGACTAGACGCTCTTGCCGTAGGCGGTCTACAAATTATAGTCATCTCTCACGTTGCAGATCCCTCTCCATTTTGAACAATTAACCGCAAATCCCCCACAAAAATTAGTAGTACAGGCGTTCGCATATTGTCTGAAAAAATCCCGCTAACATGGATTCTCGCAGTTCAAACTATTTATTAACTCGCTATCCGAGGGTATCCGTAATAATGGCAGGTCATGACCCCACTGGATTGGCGGTTAAAATTGAAAAAAATGGGTAAAATGTTCCCGTATTCATTCATGTAAGAACGAGACCTTCTGTTTCTGGAAAGCAGAGTACAAAATAGTTTACTGGGGTCATCTAAATCTGGCTGAGATAGACTTCCCTCTCTGGAGGGTAGAACTAGATGAACAATATAAAAAGGACCTCTAAGAGCACAAGAGTGTCATGATCAAAAAAGGGCGTGTGCTAACTTTCCTGAACTCCGTGGGCTCACAGCCAATTTTGAAAGTCTACCCGATTGCCACTTTTTCTTTCATTTTTTTTCCAGTTAATGGACGTCCCTCTTGTTAACTCAGAAGGTAAAATGCTGTTACCACCAGCTGAATTAGGAAAAGGATGCCCCAGCCCTGTTTACGCCAATCCTCGCCAGGTTCTACGAATCCTCAAACGAAGGGAAGCCAAAAAGAGGCTTGCTCGTTCAGGAAAACTGAAAAACCGGGCCAAACGAGTATGTATGGCAGTTCAGTAAATTTTTCTTTTATTCCCGAACGTGCTGACTGGACATATCATATTGTTCCAATCTAGACTCGATTATTATGTTAATTCAACTGTAACTGAATCAAATAATTAATTGATGAGAGAATTCACACTCAATACTGCCTGAAAGGCTAAAGTTTAAAGTAAAGTCCAGGTCCGGTTTACGTGCACGCTACGATTTATCGCGCGAATTTTCCAACGTAACGCAAAAAAAAATCACCTGTTTTTAAAAACTCGGTTGAAGTTTGATTTTACGCCGATTTGTGATTGTTCCTTAGCGTTTTCCAAAAGTAACTAGTCACGTTGTCTCAAAATTTTTAGGATAAAAAGAGAGCTGGAAATCAAGAAGATGGTAAAACAAATAGTGATGGAGCGAGTCCTAAAAAGGCTGGTTAGCACTGACTTAAAACAGACGCAGAAAAATTGACTCCGGTAGCCTGGAACCGGTCACTGCAAGTTAAAGAGTGTACTCCAGTCCAACGTAAATTTAAACTGAGATTGCGTAAATGAATATTGAATGTATAAGCAGTAAAGAGATTTCCAGTTGAGATTAGTTGAGTCTGAGTTGAGATTATTATTATTATCATTACTATATTCATAGACCATCCGCCAAACCGCACTGCTGCTGTAATCAACCACACTTTGATTCAGACCATTGAGATGAGTAAACTTCCTTCCGTTTCGATTCCGAGATACACAGAATCCGTTCAAAACAGAAGAGCTAGACTACACTCCGATTCTATCCTCTCTCTCTTACATCCTGTAAAATAACACGGCACGTGATCATGTGGTTGTCCAGTTCTAACTGACTTCATCATTGGTAAGGTGGGACAAAGATTCAGTTAGCTTTGGCTTAGAAAAGTGACGTTGCAGTAGGCCGGGCACTGCTGGAATGTCTAATTTGCGACTTTCGCTGCTAAATTTACCACCTTATCGGAGGAATTCTTTCTACTTTTGAGTTGGCGAGTCCTTCCGTTCGCTAAAACTGTTATTCTTGCCAGATCCGGTTTTGCGATTTTTGTTATACACAATCCAGGACATAAGTGGGAACAGGCAACTTCTCTTACAGCGGGGGAGAACCAGCTCTTTGCATGCGTGTGTTGACTTCAAGGAGGAGAGCTTCTGAATCGGTCCTTTCAAATGAATCTTTGGCGTGGAGGGGTTTCAACTCCTCTGACATGAGAGCTTTGTTACGTTTCGACTTTTCTAACCACTCCCTACCAGTTTATCCGGCGAGTGTCCAGCTGGCTGTGGGCAAATCCGTCATCATGCTTCCTTTACCGGTTGCCTGTCGGCCACATATTTCTTAAAGGCGATGAAATGTGTTTAATTGCGGACTTTTATTGTGCAAAATTGCATATTTTTACTACAAAATCCTTCAAAAGTGAAGCAGTAGCCACATACAATCATAGACTGCCTTTTATTTCATACTGATATCTTGGACTGCTTGACTTCAAACATATTTGACATTAAATGTAAATTGTTCATGGATATTATACTAACTCAAACCAATATTGCGACAAACAAATGCGGGTTTATACAGCCATGTACATGGGACTTCTTTTTCTGCATCTTTGTCTAAGACGTAACCGTATTAATTCTCTTCGACTTGTCTAACCTCAGAAAATCTAAACGCAATCTATTCAATGCTATATTATAAGCAAAGATTTTAGAACTAAATCTTAGGAGCAAAAAAAAACCTTTGTGAAAGCTTTAGCATAAAAGCTGTTCATTGCTCCATAACACCAAGGATGCAAAGCGCTTGGCAGACACATTAAAAGAAAACTATATCTCCTCATGAGGCTGTGATACCGAAATTTCCATTCATTTACATCAGCTAATCTTTCCCACAAAAACACGGCTTGATAAGGAAAATAACAAACTACAAATATAAGAATAATCGCGTAAATTATCTTAAGTAAATCTTGTTCAGCATCTGCGTCATCTGGTTTGATACCTCTACGGTTTTTTACATCAACCAACGCTTGTCGTCTTTGCTTTCCTTCCTGCAGTGTTTTCTCTTCTTCCCTGTTGTTTGTAAGAGTAACAAGTTCAATTGCAACAGCTGAAGAAGGGATGATCGATGTCTGAGCTGCCGGCTTTCGGTCTTTTGGCTGTCGTAGCTTCCATGCTACAGCTCCGTAAGATGCTAGCATGACCAAGTAGGGTAGGACATAACTCAGGGTGAATAACACGAGCGAATAGGCAGAGACATTCCCAACAGGATGCAATTTACAATGGCCACCTACGAACCTGTTTCGAATGAATATGGGCACGCAGACAGCAGTAGGGACAAGCCACAAACAGGAAAAGATCACAGTCTTCAATTTCCCAGATACATGGCTTTGGATGGGGTTGATATGTACTCGGTAGCGGTAGAATGCGAGCGCTGCCAGCGAAAAAGTTACTACCATCAATGAAATAACTTGGATGGGATTCGCAACGCACCAGATATCGTGCACGATACTATCTCTGTATCCGCCTTCATATTGCCAAATCAACACGATCAGTAAACAAAGACAATTGAGGATTTCAGCAAACGCTATGTGGGCAACGAGATGAAATAAAAATGGATGACGAAGAGGCGTCTTCCATGTTGCTTTACAAACTACGGAATTACCGATCGAACCCGCTATGATGATCACCGTCAAACAAGAAAGACGAAATACACGCAATGGTGTTGCTTCTTTATACTGCAAAATCCCCCAGTCTGACTCTCTAGAAGTTTCATTTGTAAATGTAGTCGTGTTGCTCAACGATGCCATTGCGTTCAACGTTCAAGTTTTCGTATTCTCTAACCTAGTGGACAAGAAGAAGACTTTAGACTATTCTCGATTCCTCAATTAGCTAAATTTGCAGCTGTCCCGGAACTGAAGCATTAAAAAAAAGGGATGAGACCAAGAGCCATTGTGATTCTTATTGACACCTATAAATGTTTATTTCGCTAGTCATATTACGTATATCAAAAAAACTCATAATGTGACACATGCAAACTGAGCGTGTCTCAAACTGAGCACTTAGTCATCTTTAATACTTTAATATGCACTTTATCCGTTGACTGTCGTAAACAGACGCTTTTATACGATGACTATCAATGCAGCCAATTAATAAACATCAGCTGAAACATACCTACACCGTTGCAATAGTCACGTAGTCATAAAAACTGAAACATGGAAAAGACCCAAATAAGACTAAATTACCTTGGCTTTCAGCAGTGCATCTTTTTAGCTAGAATTCAAACAACTTTTGTCCTGGCTCCATTAACCAGCAATTTTCTGTAGGAGAACAGGTCTTGTCTCGCCAGTAATTAAAAACAAAAACTGTTCCTGTGCCTTATAAATCTTATTTGGCTTTTTTCATTTTCTTTTTCCTTTGACAACGTTATTCAGGGCAATTTAAATCATAAATATATGCCTTAAAATGCTTAAGCGTGAAGTGGCTACATATAGGCAAAGTTTACTGACTTTTGCGTTTTTATGATCGAAAGGAAGACGAGAAAATTGAAGAAAGAGGCCAATATGCAGCTCAGTATCTTGACCGAGTAAACCTTGCCAGTTTATCCGGCACAAGGCGGAATCTCGACCGTGCAAGATACACTGCAGGCACATGTTGCCCGCTCGGTAGCCAATCAGAAAAAAGTTTAAGATTCGCTTCACCTTGCCAGCTTGCGAGAGCTAGCCATGCAATTTAAGTCTAATACAGTTGCTCTCAGAGGTCTTCTACACTGCAAAAAATGCCATTTTTCGATTGAGTGAAACTCACTCCCACTTTTGAGTAACTGGCTCATTTTACTCGGTATATTGAGTACAATTACTCGCAAAAGGAGTAGAATCTCAAACACAAAATAGAGAGTGGAAAACACTCGTTCTTTTGAGTAAAAGGTATAAAGAGTATGTTTACTCAAAAAAACTGAGTTAACACTACTTACTCATGAGTAAACGATGAAAGAAACAACTTTCAACAAAATTGCAGAATTCATTATTGAAAAGTTGTTAAAGAAGCACTCAGATTGCATGTACTGAGTAAGTTGTTTTATTTCTGCAAACAGATACATAACCTGAGCTAGTCAAAAAGAGGCATTCAGACCCAAATTAAGTAAACCTTCCATAACAATAACATGAAAAGTTACTTTTGTGCATGAGGTAAAACATACTCAGGGATCATAACTCGTAAAAAAAGCCTTAACTACTACTTATGTATGTATGAGTAGATAAATGGATACTTTATTGAAGTGTCTTGATGTTTACCACTCCTGCAGTGCTTAATGTGAACATTGTTGATCTATGCATAAAAATGAGTTTACTCCTAAAAGAAATACAATTAACTCAATTAACTTACTCAATTCAATTAAAAACAATATAAAATGATGCAATGCAATGAAATGCATTATTGCAAACAGTCAATTCTGTATTTTAGGACCACAAAGAAATTACTGGCATAGCAACCAAAACCTCTACACTTCCCAAGGGGATGGAAATCAACAAGTTCAGCTTGCTTTATGTAGGACACTTTATTTCCTGGTGTAACCTTGTAGGCGTTTAAATGAGTGACGTATTCAAGGACACTCAAGGCTGTATATTGCAACAGGACTTCACTTCCATCTAAAATGAGGACTTCCTTTATTTCTCCAAAACTTGGAATTCCATGCCGAATGTCAACAATGATGGCATAGCCCCTGCTATATTTGGTGCCATAAACTTTTGCCCAAGTGGTTCTGTCAGAAAATAAATATATAAAAAAAAACAGAACAAACTTTAAAAACAACTTAAGACAGGTGGCAGTCAACAAATAATTCACCTCTCCCGTCGTGCCGGTTTTCCTGTTTGTCTCAGTGAGGGGAAATGTAATCGCGCAGAATGGCTAATTTGTTCTCGGGACATTTACTTACAGTAGAGCTAGAAACATAGGCATAGAAACATAAAGACCGAATTTAAAGTTTAAATTCGGTCTTTAGAAAACTCAAAACAATCCGAGCTTACAATGAAAGGTCATGAAATGATACACCCCTAATAATATGTTGGTCAATAATGTCACTGTGTTCTTGCTATTTCTAATTACTACTGATCATAGGTTTTAGTATTTTGCATTTTATTCACCTCGATATGGAAAATAACTGTTACACCAACATGCTCTAAACAATGTTACGATCAGTATTAGATTCTGCCAAACTATCCTCCTACCCCATCTTTTGGTAAAAACGCTTAAGACGGAATCCACCAAGAAATTGAGTAATTTTAATTCTCAGTGGACAAAAACCTTGTGTCAAAATAATTTAAAGAATATTGCATTCTTTTTTACGTTTTTGAAGGTCTAAAGATGTAATTAGTCATCTGTAATAACACCAAAGAAAATTTCTCATGGGAGCCCGAGAAAATGAATGTCAAATTTCCCAAGAATTGTGAAAACAAAGGCAAATTTCTGAAATTTCATGTGAAAGATGTAATTTCGTGAAATTTGACATTCATTTTCTCTGGCTCCCATAAGAAATTTTCTTTGGTGTTATACAGATGACTAATTACATCTCTAGCCCTTCAAAAATGTAAATTTGAATGCAATGTGCTTTAAATTATTCTGGTGCAAGGTTTTTGTCCACTGAGAATTAAAATTACTCAGTTTCCTGCTGGATTCCATATTAATGTCATATGAAGCCAGAAAAATGTAGTTCCACATGCGACTTTGTAACTTGTACGGGACATAGATTAGAGTCACCCCAGGAACCTAGGTTACGTAGAGAGGATACACAGGCAAAATATCACTTTCCCCTACACGAATGGGGCAATTTTTTCTTCCTTTTTATTGGTCGAGAACCCACCACGTGACCTGCAAATAATCATTCTCGTCCCCAGAGCCACTCGGCTTAATTTGTAACCGACCAGTGGTCGTGACCAAGAAACGACGGGCTCTGGGGGCGAGAATGGCAAATAATTGCCTAGAAATAATGGTCTGCTCATGCGCAATGTCGTCTAACTGCGGCTGGCTTAAGGGGCTGGCTGCAAATAATATCTGCTCATGCGTAAATGAAACCACGCTTTTTTCCTTCTTGCGGATCGCTCTTGCGTGAAAATGGCAGATCGCTTCGCAAATAATTAAAAAACAAGGCGCTACGGAGCGTACACTTCGGCGTCGTGGAGGTGGAAGTGATTAATTGTAAATGCGGAGGAATAGTAAGAAATGAAATATGTTAAGAGTAAGGTGTTAATTTGTGAATGTGGCTGCCCTCGAAAGTCGTACTTGGCATCCGAAGGAGTTTCGTTGTTATTCACAAGAAAAAAGAGAAAAACTTGAATCGTCAGATCTTTCCTTTATCTCCAAATAATCTTTAACTCTTCAGTTCTTCAGATAATAGTTCTTCAGATAACAACTTAGTCTGCCTTACACGATACGGCTGAGCGAAGGATTACATGGATTGTAAACCTAAATCACACATGTGATAAACAAGAACATGGCGGCAACTAGCACGAGTCCTAAGCAAAATGGTAACAACCGCTGACCATAAATACTGAAAACTCTTTACTACAGCGCTGCTGTAGTAACATGGCTCCTCAACTGCACGTCATGCAGTTAAGACAAAACAATAAACCTACATGAGTCCCTAAGGCTAAACGTTAAACAAACTATCAGTTCGATACTCAAACAGTAGAATCTCGAAAGCTCAAGTCATTGATCGGCAACAGCGAATGAATGTTAAATGAGTTAATCAAAATCAAGTGTTCACTACAGTGTTCATTGACAATGAAACCTTTGCAACGTCTTTTAATTGTTCTTCGTTGGCTCCTCGATGGGGACTTCCCTGGTCTCCTCGTGAAAGACATCTTCCTGGAACACTTCATCTGCAGTCAACAATAGAACGAGCTTGTGTATAGGTCTGTCTAAATATGATGGTGGGCGTTGGCGTTTGCCACTATCATCCAAATTCCCGTCTGCCATCAGCAACCTGACCTTTCTGACATATCCGTCGTCACTTGGGTACACCTGCACTACTTTGCCAAGTGGCCACTTGTTGCGCGTGCTTTCACTTTCCTTAGAGATGACTATATCACCAACAGCAAGGTTTCTCTTAGGCTGGACCCACTTTTGCCTGACTTGTAACATTTGAAGATACTCTGCCCGCCATCTCAGCCAGAATTCATTTGCAAGATACTGTACTCTTCTCCAACGTCTACGACAATATATATCGGCTCTTTGAAATTTTCCTGGGGGCGGTAGCACTCTTTTAGGTTTCATAGTAAGAAGATGGTTAGGAGTCAACGGCTCTGGCGCTTCTGCATCACATAAATTATCGACGCTGAGGGGTCTTGAATTAATAATGCACTCGACTTCTGTCAAGAGTGTTCGCAATGTCTCATCATCAAGTTGGCTGCCAGCTTGTAACAGTAGTGGTTCAAGTGCGTTGCGTACACTACGAATCATACGTTCCCATGTCCCGCCCATGTGACTAGAATGGGGTACGTTCAACTTGAATGGAATCCACTCGCATCCATTCCTTAGCAAATAGTCTTGAACATGATCTTGATTCATCTCACATAATGCTGCTTTCAGTTCACTTCGTGCACCAATGAAATTTGTCCCTTGGTCGGACCTCAGTTGTCTCACAGCACCTCTCCGATTCATGAAACGTCTCAATGCATTGATAAATGAAGAACTCTCCAATGAATTGGCAGTCTCTAGATGAACACTTCGTGACCCCATACATGTAAACAATACTCCATAGCGTTTAACTTCACTTCTTCTCTCTTTGACAATGAACGGTCCAAAGTAATCAACGGCACAAAACGAAAAGGGAGGAGCTGGTTCAAGTCTGTCGTCAGGAAGGCAGGCCATCTTCTGCTGCTCAGTGGGCCTACGTAGTCGTCTACATGTCACACAACTCGATATAAACCTCGCTACTTTTGATGAACCATTGATCAACCAATAGCCACTTTGCCGCAACTCGTTATGCGTCATACCACGACCCATATGGTTCACTTTGAGATGGTGATGTTGAATCAACAGTTCAGTCAAGTGTCCTTTTCGCGGAATAATGACTGGATGCTTCAGATCAACTGGTGTATCTGCTCTTCTGATACGACCACCAACACGAATTATGCCATCATGGTCCACAAACGGATCCAGTTTGTACAGCGAACTGGTCTTTCGTAACGCTTGGTTCCTCTTTCTGGCTTGGTTTCTGTTTGTCTCTCCGTTGGTTACATTTAAGTCGCAGAGAATTTGAAGTTCCTCACGGAAATGTTCGTACTGCAAACATCTGATGATGGTCTTCTCTGCCTCCTGAAGCTCTGGAAGTGTAACTCTCAGTATTGACTTCTCAACTTCTGTACTTGACCTTGTTACTGGACTCTCGGGTTTCTTAATTTCCCTTCTTTGAAGCTTGGACTTCAGACGTAAACATAGAGCTATGACCTTTATAGCACGGTACCAGCTAGATACACCATCTAGTCTGCTTATTTCAAATTGATCTGGAAATGGAGCAACACTTCTGACCTTCGTGGTCAAAACAGACACTTTCTTCACCTCCGGGTCAGAGTCTTGAAGGCGAGGCAGCTCCACGTTTTCTGGTTCACAGGGTCCGCTTCTCCACAAGAATTCTGGACCAGTTAACCACAGAGATCCTTCAACCAGCTGCTTTGCGGTGAGTCCTCTTGATGCTTCGTCTGCGGGGTTGTTGTTTGTGTCTACGTAAAACCATGCGTTGGGATCGGTTAGGTCTCGGATTTGCTGCACTCTGTTAGCAACATAAACGTGAAACCTCTTGGCTTCATTGTTAATGTATCCGAGAACTACTCGGCTATCCGTCCAGAAGAATTCTTTCATCTCCGGGTACTCCAACTCATTTCTCACGAACTCACTCATTCTTGCAGAGATGGTAGCAGCGGCTAACTCCAGCCTTGGAATAGTCTTGTGTTTAAGGGGGGTTACCCTGGCTTTTCCGACGATGAAGGAACAATGAGCTTGATCGAGTTCGTTAATCAATCTTAGATAACAGCATTGACCATAACCTTCCACTGAAGCATCTGAAAAATAGTGGACCTCCACTGCTTTCACTGGGCCAAAGTTGTCTGGCTTGAAACATCGCTGTATCTCTAGTTTCTCCAACTGTACGATTTCTCGCCGCCACTTTTCCCACTGTGGGTGTAGATACTCTGGAACAGGGCTATCCCAATCCAACTTGTCTTTGCACATCTGCTGAAGAATCTGTTTACCTCTGAGTGTAACAGGGGCCAGGTACCCATTAGGATCATAAATGGAGCCAATAGTGGACAATACACCTCTTCGAGTTAAAGGGCGATCATGAAGTTCAATCCGGAACCGGAAACTGTCACTTTCAGCGCACCACATCACGCCTAGAGCTCTTTCAATAGGTAATGGATCTACAGCTAAGTTCAGTTCCTTTATTTCCTTTGAATGGTCATCAACCGGAAAGGCTTCAAGAACTTCTTTCTTGTTCGAGACTATTTTATGTAATCTGAGACAAGCCTTGCTACAAATTGCTTGACTGGCCTTGATTAACTGAATGGCTTCGGGTACCGTTGATACAGATTTTAGTCCATCATCTACGTAGAAGTCCTTGCGTATGAACGCCGCAGCATCTGTACCAAACTCTTCTTCGCCATCGTCAGCTGCTCGCCTAAGCCCAAAGTTGGCGCAACCTGGGGAACTGCTGGCACCAAACAGGTGAACTTTCATACGATAGTCGACTACTTCCTTTGATGGGTCCCCATCCAACC